GCTCTACTTCCAGCTCAACTTTTTATGTATGCCCTCTTCCAAAGAGTAAAACAAAATAGTTTATTACAAAGTTATGCTTCCTTCTTTAGGCATTCCTGTCACCAGGCCAATTGTAACTTATGCTTATAAATGTCCAATAGGAGTAAGTACACAGTTCATGAGCCTTCTGGGAGGATAAAATTATGTGTCGGTTTGAGAGTGGATAGGCTGGTCATACTTTGTCTTCTGCTCTCTCCAGATGGCATCCACCTGCTCAGGAGTGCAATCTACCCAAGGGATACTTTGAGGGTTTAAAGATCAATTAGAGGGGGGTGGGGATTTAGCTCAGTAACAAAGTGCCTGCCTGGCAAGTGCAAGGTCGTGAGTTTGGTTCCCGGTACCGGAAAAAAAAACAAACAAACAAAAAAAAAAGATCAATTAGAAATAAGGAAGGGACACCCAAACTACTTCTTTTTGTATTTCAGCCATGGGATATTCACAATCAAAGTCTCTTACTCATTTAGAGTGCATCATTAAGCACTGGAAGATGTTTGACCCTTACATAATAAAAAAGAACCATTTAATTTTTTTGCATGTGTGCATAGCCTACCTACCCCACTAGAGCCAAAATGGAATGTAGAGGAAGTATTAATTATGATTTTCTTTTACAACTACAATCACACTGTAAAAAGGAGAAAAAATTGTCAGAATTGTGTTATGTTCAAACCTTCTTTACATGAAGAAATAATTCACATTTATGCTCAAGGTATAATTATGATCCATATGAGACTACCTATGTTCATATGTCTCTTTCTCTCAATGACTGAAAGCAGATCAAGCTAAAACTAAGAAAATTTTCAGTTGACCCTAATAAGTACATTGATGTCTTTAAAGAATTTACTCAGACCTATAAGCTAAGCTGAAAAGATATAATATTAATCTTAAATCAAACGTTGATTTCTACTGAGAGACAAACAACATTACAAGCTGCTGTTACATTTGGGGATGAATATCATGTTAATTGTAAACAACCAGAAGATAGATAGCCAGGGCAATAACCAGTTCCCATTGGAGCCCAGGCAGTGCTATCCAAGACTCCTGCTGGCCTAACAGCCAGACAGGATATTGGAGCAGGAGACATTTTCAAGTGTGTATGCTTGAAGGTCTAAGAAGAATAAAAACCAAGGCTTCTAGTTATTATAAATTTTCAGCTATTTATGAGAAGATGAAAACCCCTCTGCTTTCTTAGAACATCTACTAGAGGTGCTGATAAGACATATATCCATAGCTGCTGATTCAATACAAGGATAGATTTTGCTTAAAGACATGTTTATTACCCAGTCAACCCCACATATTAAAAAAGAGCTACAAAAGATAGTTTTTGCTCCAGATAGCTCACTTGATCCTCTAGTAAAAACTGCCTCCATAGTATTCTATAATCAGGACTGGGAGAAAACCAGAGAGAGAAAATAAAGAGATCAAAAGGTAGCTGCCTTTGCTGCAGCCTCCAAAAACAGACCCTAAGTCTGATTCCCTGGGATCCAAGAAGAACTTAATGACTAAGTTCATCTGCTACTACTGTCAAAAGCCAGGCCACCTGAAGAGGGACTGCCTTAAGAGGCTCCCAAGCCATGCCCTGACTGTCAAGGCAACCACTGGAAGTGAGACTTCACACTGAGGCAGAGGCCCCAGAGCTCAGACTCATCTTCTCAGGTGGTCCAAAAGACTAAAAGGCCCGAGACTGCCTCCTCCCTCTGGCTGAACTATCATCTCTACCTGTCATCTCCACAGAGGGCCCCGAGTAATCATGACTAGAGGAAAAACAAACCCAGTCTATTGCTGGACATTGGCACAGGCCTCTGTCCTTCTCCAAACCCGACCTTCCTTCCAATCTTCATACCTCAATAAAAGCAGTCATGAAAAATATATATCTCATCTCTTAAGCTGTAACTAGGATAACTTTCTCTTCACCCATTCCTTTTAGTTATGCTTAAAAGCCTAGCTCTCTCATACTGGAGAGATTTTTGTCCTGTCTAAATATTGTAATATATGTTCAGATTGCCAACTAATCAAAATGATGTTGAGATTGGTTTTTACAAATGTAGTACATATTGTTGTTCATGTACAAAAACGTACAGAGTTTTTCATTGGTCAAAATAAGGTGTTAATCTGGTTTTCATAAGTTATCAAAAACTTAGAGATAGTTCTAACTAAAACTAGAGGGACTTATGACAAAATGTTAGACTCCATCAGTAAAGGGTTCTAAGAGCCAGTGGGCTGCAATAGTCATCTCTTAAAAATAGTTTCTAAACTTATGTGTCAGCTCTAATACTCACACTTTGATTATATATGTTCTAATTTTTCAGAAAATTTTTCGTGCCTGTAAGATGCCAAACCTCAGGTAATCATACAGATAAAACCTATAACAAATATGCTCAAAAGCCAGGCATGGTGGTGCACACTTGTAATCCCAGCCCCTGGAAGGCAGAGGCAGGAGGATTGTTGAAAGTTCAAGAACAACCTGGGCTGCAAAGTGAGCTCAAGGCCAGCCTGAACTGCATAGTGAGACCCTGTCTCAAAAATACAAAAAAAAAAAAAAAAAAAGCTAGATTACGTTTAGATTCCTTTTACTGGGATCCACCAGATCTTGTCTAAAGGGAGGGTTATATGATAGCTGTTGTGTCCTAAATAAGTAAAATTATTATTTGTTTTTGTTTTTGTTTTTATTTTTTGTTTTTCTCCGGTACCAGGAATCCAACTCACGACCTTACACTTGCCAGGCAGGCACTGTGCCACTGAGCTAAATCCCCAGCCCTAAATAAGTAAAATTAATAAAACAGGCCATCCTCCAAATGCAGATGGCATTAGACATCCTAGCAGCAGCACAGAAGGACACTTGTACAACTGTAAAAACTAAAAGCTTTGTGTACATTCCTGATTCTTCTGCTAATATCTTGATAGCTGTTCAAGATTTTAGCTGACAAATCAATGACATGTCAGACTTAGAAATTCCCTGGACTTTATCTTTATCCTCTTTATGGGAAGCTATTGCTGGCTGCTCTTGGTGGAAATCTTTGTGACTGTATTCATAATTATCCTGTTGATATTATTTGGCCCATGCATACTTAATTGTTTCTTTGGTTTTGTCTCCTCCAGACTTAAAACTATGCACCTACTCAAGATAAAAATGCCTGTTGTCTATCGAAGGTCTTTAGATAGACCCTCTGTAGAGTATCTCTGACTGCCAATCAACAACTACGTCCCCTTTCAGCCTCAAGAAACCAGAGAGGTCATCATCCACTATTCCCTCACAGCAGTTCGAGTTATTTCTTCAGAGGGGGGAATGTTGTAGGCAGCTGAATTAGACAGTAATATTATAGGCAGTCAAACAGGGCTAGGCCCTTGAAGGAGCCAGTATGGAAGACAAGATAACCTCATAATTGCGGGACAGACAGGCACTTCTGCTGTGGGCCAGACCTCAAAACAAAAGATTAAACAAAGGCACCCACACACCTCCCTAAGGATGGACATCAGTGATTGATATTCTAAATAGGTATCAGTCACCTTGAAAAAGCCAGGAAGAGTCACTAACTCAATCCCTTACAGGAAAAGCCCCTGTTCTGTATTCCTGTCCATCTGCTCACTACAAGACTCGCTTCCCCATTTGATACTGATTTGATCAATTTTACCGGAACAATTATACTTGTAATCTTATTAGCTGACCATAGTTTTGTCCCATCTCATGCCTACCTAGCAAGTTTGCATGTTTCCCACCTTGGGCCCACCTCACCTTGTGGTTTTGCTCTATAAAAATCCCCCGAAAAGACAGGCTCCTTGGGAACCCACTTGGGCCCCCTTCTGTCCCTCTCTCAGACAGAAGCTTTCTTTCCCTCAATAAATATATTCTGCTCTTATAAATGTTAATTCACTCTCTAAATGTTTGAGTTTTTAAGGTTTTTATTTTTATCAAAGTAATACATTTTAATTGAGGGAACTATAATGTAGTTTAACATAGCACCTGTGTAGCTTCTTTCGCGTATGTATCTGCTATCTCCTTTCCAAAGTGTCCTTGTCACAGCTAAGGAAGCAAGTATACGTTGTAAGCACCAAGTTCTCCATCTTTCAAAGAGAAAATTACATCACTGAGACAAAATAATTTACCGCAATATATACAGTAATTCATTAGCAAAGCCAGAGATGGCATCTAGATAGGATAATCTATATAGTTTACACTGCCCATTCCATCCACTTGTTTTCAATCCTCCCCCTTTATCCACTCAAATAATATCAAACTCCACAGAACATTGAGTCCTCTGAATAACTCTGACCATGTCAAATGCTCTACTTTTCCTTCTTTTCCGTCTAGCTTAATAGGAATGAGAAGGTACTTCAAATAATGCTCTCTGGGTTTCCTTCCTTCCATAAAAACAATGCATTTCTTTATCTCTTGAGCAATTACTATACCCAGGAACCACACACAGCGCTTTTCTAAGCTGGCCTGAAACCAGTCAATGCCAACATGTTCACTTCTTAACTTCAGTGGGATCACCTAATAAAGATTTCACACATACACCTTTTTAAATTAATTAATTTAATTTATATTCAATGAAAAGAATTTCCCCTAGGAAACTATAAGAAACACAACTCCTTTCAGCAAAAAGCTTTGAGCACTACCACCTGGAACAATAAACCATCTGCCCTAACTTTCATCAGTAGGTGATTGTCAATCAAAGCACCTTAAAAAGAAATAGCTGTGGTCATGTGAACTCATGGGGAAGAGAATCTCAGGATACAGTAGTTGTTTCAATGTTTCTTGGCAGAGGGCAGCCTTCTTGAGATGACAGATGGCCCAGCAAGTGTGTTTGCTCTGTCACATGACGCTGTGTCACCTTCTCAGTTCATTTGTCAATACCAGGGATATGAGGTAGAGCAGGCTCTGGTAAGCACATTCCAATTCACTATGATCACCGTACCATGTACTTTGTGCAGACAAAAAACACATTAACCAAGGGCCCAGCAAGTGTCTATAAACAAATGTCCAAATCATTTATTTAGTCAAAAAACATCATTGAGTGGCTAAGACATTCCAGGTACAATGAATGCAAAAATAAGTGGATCCCAAATACAGGGACCACACAATGGACATTTTTAAGAACAGAAAACTCCCTGGACTCAAGATTATCTGCTGCTCCACTAGCCTGAGACTGAGGCCTGGGTCCCTCCCTATTTGGTAAGTTTTACATTTCTGAGGCCTCCACCTTAAAGAACAAATGCCCAGGGCAGAGACCCCATTAAGCTCCCATCCTCAGTTTTCATGCATTTGTAAATCTATTAGATTATTTTTCTTACACTGAGAAAAATCTGAGAGGGATATGATGTCAAGGAAGGGATTTCATTTTTTTTCTTTAATGATAAGAAGGTCAGAAAGGAAGGAACTTGGGAGACCAGAACTCTAAAAATAATATTTAAGGATTATAAATAAGGTTGGCACATACACTGGACTTACATCAGATATCACAGGGCTTCTGTTCTTAGTTCGACTTTTCCTGGATATAACTAAACTTTCCTTCTGCAACTTTACTATGTACAGATGACTGTATTACAATGGCTTCAAATATATCAGTTAACAGCAAAACAGTGATGTTTTTCCAGCTTGCCTATAATTACACATGTACCCATTTATCTCACTGGGCAAAGTTTACAATAGACAAAATTCCCTTCTGCACCATAGAATGGTGGAGTAAAGGTGCTAGTCTGGAAAGTCTACAGCAGAAGGCGGAACTTATGCAAAGTATGCATGGCAGAAAACAGCCACGGCCAGCAGGATGATGCCATTGATGTTCACTACTGTCCTCCACAAAGGCTTCTCAGAGGTATCTGTCAGCTTCATCTTCATGGCCTTTTCCTCCTCTTTGGTCATCTTGGGTCCCTTCTGTTCCAGACCACAAAATAGGTCATAGGCACGCCTGAAGCATCCTTTTTTCTCCTCAGGAACTTCTGTGTCAAGAGCAGGACATAAAGGATTAGCAAATATAGAACCAAGAGGAAATAGAAAAGACTTCCAGGGGAGTGCCATACCATAGAGCATCTAATCTACTATTTGGTAGTAATTGCCCAATTTTCTCATTTTCAGGAAATGGGATAGTACAATATATACAAATGAACTTAATTACATTTAAAACAATGTTACTAGAAGGATTCTACATCCTCATGATCAACTACCTTGAATTTTATGTCTATCAGAATCAATATGCATTCATTTTTATTTAGAACAGTCAGATCAAGTAATAGTTAATGAAAGAGAAGTGTTAGCAATGGGCTGGAGAACTATGACAGATGAAGCACATGAGAAACCCACATCTGAAATACATGAGCTCATATTTGTTTCCTTCATCACTGGAAAGCAATGAGGCTGGTTGACCAAGCAGTGAACTGGCTACATCTGTCAGTTCTAATGGTTTACAACAGACTGACCTTTCCTCAGGAAATGGTGGTTGTAACACTCGTGGTTCCCCAAGAGAGCTTAATTTATTGTGCTTTAGTACAGTTCAGTTTTATTTCACCATGATCTCATCAAGAATCAAGAGAATTCAATCTGGTCACCAATTCTATAGCCAGTGTGGATGTTATACCCTCTTTAGCATCCCTGATGCCCCTCATCCCTTTCCAGGCCAACTCAATTAGAAAACCCTCCCTTAAAATCAATCAAGATGGTGATAATTACGACCAATCCTTATAGTCAAGCATTATCTTATTTCTAATAGTGATGTGATGTGTGGAGTATCATGTAAAATACTCTTACATGAGGAGCCTGAGCTTTAGAAAAATGTATTCACCTGCCCAAAGTAATAAGAAAATAATTCAGGGTTCAGTCACAATTCCACCTGATTCTACATCCCACCATCTAACTCTGCATTATCCTGCCTCCCTACTCTGAGTCAAAATTGTAGGGGTTCTTTTGGCCCACCTATTTTAAGACTGTCCCAAATACAAAAAATAATCTCTTCTTCCACATTAACATCTCCCAACACTCAAAATACTCCTTATCCATGTCCTTTTAAAATCTGTAATATTCTCACTCAAGGTGGAGACATCTTTGGAGGTGGGAGGAGTAGGGGCAGGCTCAAGCCTGCCTGCTCAGGGAAGTAGGGAGGAGCTGACTATTTTCAGCACCACAGCCAACTGTCGGTGACTCCATGTTCCTCTAATACTCACAGTCAGAAGTTTCAGAACTGAAAAGTCCTTAGAGATTAAGAGCAGACTGTACCAGGGCCAGGACCACTGACAAAGTCTCTCTCTCTCTCTCTCTCTCTCTCTCTCTCTCTCTCTCTCTCTCTCTCTCTCTCTGAGCCCCAATTTGAGTGTCTATAAAATGAGGTAATAAGATCAAATAATCTGTAGGGCCTTTTCCAGAGCTAGGATTCAATGACATTCCTGATCAGATTCAGAACGTGTTCTGCTTCATCTCTGCTGTCCTTCAGAGGGAGGGGTGAGGCTTCCGCCTAGCACCAGGCAAAGCACAAGACCTTGAGCTCCCATAGTTCTGCAAGCCACACAGATCCATTCTATGTGCGTGTGCTTCTCCTTGTAGGAAAGAAAAGTTGAAATGCTGAAGCTGAAGAAAGCAGTAATTTAAAGGGTAAGCCTCCAGACACAGATGAAGCATCATCTTAGGCTTCCAGAGAAATTTGATTTTCTAAGTTTTACATGGTAAAATATAAGACCTGCCTCCAAAAGCTCTATCCCATCCCCCTGACATCACTAGAACTGAGCGTATCTTTGGTTCCATCTGCTCTCAGTACACAGGCTAAGTCAGAAAATAGCTGAGTCTTGTATCCCTGACTGTGCCCTGAATCAGTGCAGGTAGCAAAAGCCCCACCCTTTGATTCACTGAGCATCATACAACATGAGGGATAAGGCAGCTTGGGTGACTGCACCTCCCTCCTCTCCCCTGATTAGATTTCATAGTGAACTTCCCAAAACTATTATTTCATCTCATCCCACCCCTACTCATTTCCTCCTGCAGGAAAGAGATTTGAACTTTGATGAATGCATTTGGTATAAATTTCATTAAAATTGCTGTTGTGGAGTAACTTTTTATGGATTGAGTCATCAATCACCTATTTCAATAGTTTCCTTTGGAGCTTCTTGGATGTCCTCCTCTACTGCATCCAAGTCAATACGCTCCTCTTTGCTGTTGCGCAGGGTCCAACACAGACGATAGAGCTGTGGAGAAAGCAGAAAGGTTAATAGAAAGATCCAAATAGTGTCTTGTTTCAAGTCAGCAGAACAAAAAGATATGCATCAAGAAAGGAAAAAGAATATGGCCACTTAGTACCTACAAGAACTTTTATAGGAGTACCCCCAAGAATTCACAGCATTATCTCTAAATATGTTGGGAACTTGGTTTGTGTCTGGATGTCCCTCCAAAGCCTCATGTGGTCACAGAGGGGGGGCTTTTTGGAGGTGGGTAAATCTAGAGTTTGTGATTGATTCATTGTCTAGTGCTATGATTCAAGGTATGAGTGCTACACTCGCCCTATGGGTGGGTAGCCTGCATACAATAGAAGGGATGGAAAAGAAGTTTGCTCCTCCCCTTTGTTCTTTTGCTGTCTTCTGCTGCCTTGAACTATTGCACCTCTGCCATGTGCCACTCTGCCTTGGAGCCGGCCAATGATGGAGTGAAGCCTCTGCAAACTGTGAGCTAAATAAACCTGTCCTCCTTTAATTTTGAGTGTCAGGTATTTTGTCTCAGCAATGGAAAAGTAACTAAGACATAGATATAGATCACATAGTTATGTAGATATTCTAGAGGCTGACTGTATCAAATATAGGAGTGTTTGTTTAAACCAGATTTGGTGGTGCAAGCATGTAATCCCAGCACTCTGGAAGGCTGACACAGGAGAGCACAAGTTGGGGCCCAGCCTAAGCAACTTAGCCTGACCTATCTCAAAAGTAAAAAAAAAAAAAATTAAAAAGGGCTAAGGCTGTAGCTCAGTGAGAAGGTTCTGGGTTTAATCCCCACTCTCAGGAAGAAAGCAAGGAAGGAAGGAAGGAAGGAAGGAAGGAAGGAAGGAA